ATGTAATATGTCGGTTAACTAAGCATTACCCTACTAACCGACCTATGAGTACACAAATAATTTTTCGGATGCTTCCGAACATCTCTGTGTAGTAAACACTATGGAAAATTATAATATAAAGTATATGCTGACGTCTTGCCCAATTAATATAATATTATGGTCAATTCTACGCGTTGCAAATCAATTCATAGTAGGTACCATTATTATTATTTATGCTCTGTGCAGACGTTTCAACGCTCATCGTGAATTTACTTTTTATGTGGACATCGACACACCGTATATATTGTAGGTATATTGATAAAAAAAAAAAACATATTTATTGAAATACATTTATTTTACTCACTTATATAAACCATAGCTATCGATAGGTTATAATATTACATTATTTATTTGTTTACACAATAATACCAGAAATATATGCCTAAAACTTATACACAACGCAATTTTGAAGTAGCACACATATTAAAATAGCATCTGTAACTGTGCAATCAAAAGAAAACTTGGTTGGCTTATATGTTTTTAAAATACTGCTGAAATCAGAATAAACATTATTAATTATTATATACTTATTATATAAATTATAAACTGTAAAATGCATATATTATTTTAGAAGTTTTAGGTATAAGTTTCATCAAGCCAAAAATAAAGATACTTTTCAATAAAATAAAAAAATAAAAAGAGGGTATAAGTTGGTAACCATTCTGTTGTACAGTAGTCAAGTTTACCTAGTCATTGAGGAAAAAATTATTATAATGTGTGTGTGATAAATTTAAATTCAATGATAAATCATTACATACGAAAAACAATTCTGAGCGAAAATGGTCTATCAACCTATATTACCTACTAAGTATATTTAATGATATGTTTTTTCCATTATAAATTAATAATTTATTTTACTATTGAAATATAATAGAAGATTAAATTAATTTTTCTCAAAAACATTCCATTTGAAAATGTTATTATAAATAACAATATACGTTAAACATTTGAACTATACACGAATAATATTTTTAAATAATAAAATACTTAAGTTTTCATCATTTAAATATATAATTTTTACTTGAAAAGACTTAAAAAAAAATCGTGTTAATTTATTTTTAAGATTTTTTGACTAAATATAAAATGCTCATAAAATTCCTCATTTTAAATGTTTATATTTAAAGACACAGAATTTATTTTTTTTAATTTTGTAGATAAAATTTCAAATGTCTATAAAAATAACTCAAAAATATTCAAAATATTTTTAAAATTTAATTATGTACAGGAAATTTAAATATAAAAAAAATATGTGTTTAATAAAACTTCGAGTATCTGTGATTATTTGTTCTTGAGTTATATATACCCAAAAACAAAATTGACTGTCGAGTATTGGTTTCGAATAATCCTATTTTTCTTTTTTTTTTTCATGGTTATTTTGAAAAGTATTAAAAATTATTTACTTTTGAACCCCTAAAATGGAAAATTAAAACATTTTTACTGCCGCAAAACATGACAGACAGAAAAATATCATACACACACGTCACACATCATTCAATATATTAATCGTTTTCTGTTCAGAATCAAAAATATATCAACAGTTATAGTTATTGTTAATCATGACGAAAAAATATTACACTTACAAAGGATCATTTCAATCATGCAAAAATCACTCAGCTGTTGAATGTATTGATTCAACTGATTCTAGGAAGTGGCAAGCATAACATGGTATATTACAGTATATTATTGTTACGATTGAAATAAATATATGCAACACGTATATTTTATAATTAAATGTTACAGCTTAAAACTATTCTATTGTCTATACCTACTATTCACTTAAAATTTAAAACTATAATATTTTAAATAGTTTAAAATCATATTATACATAACTACTAATTTTGGAAGGCGCGTTACTAAGTTATTAATTACCATCCTAATTATTCCAAGATAAACCTAGAAAAATCTAAGAAAATCAATTTTTTTCAATTAGATCGTACTCAATAGGTATTGAAAATCTTCTTTTGTTATTAATCACATTTTTAAGTTAAGTCTATACCAACCCTTAAAGACAACTGATCAAACAATTGGTCAGTAGTAGATAAGTTGCAACTGTCTATATGATATAAAAAAAAATTATACTATACGATTTTTGGTCAAAATATCCCAGCCAAACAAATTTTTTTTCTAATAAATTTACGTCAATATTTATATATGATACAGGATAATATAATATAATTAAAGCTCAACTTTTAGTTTATACAATATATGTTATGCGTGTATAATAGTAATTACTAATTAATCTATCGCTCAAAACTTAATGAAATATAAATTTGCAAATAGTTATAATATTTTATAAAATCTATAAAAATGTGGTACAAATTTCTTTTATAATAATATTTAATTTTTTTTTTATTATTTTTACATTGTTGAAATGATTTTTAAATATATTAAATATTTATTGTTATTATTGATTCAATAAAATTGATTAAATATTTATGGTTTATTCAGAAACGTCTGAAAATTTGGAAATTAAAAACGAAAAGGTAGGCGACGAGACAATAATAGCGCAGTATGAATTAAGTACTATTGGAATATCGTTAACCTTAGACAAATAATTAAAGTAGAAAAAATAAATTACATAACATCTCAGAGATTTGTCATCTGTGGACTCTAAATCAATTAACTAAAACGATATTTCAAAATTTCTGTTCCGTATTTGAACTATTATTATTTTTATTGAACTGTTTAAATTAAAAGTTTGAAAAACAATTTTTATACATTTTAAAACTGAAATATTTTGGCTGTGAATAATTTTAATATTGAATATTTTAATCTAGAACTAAAACTCTTCAATACTAAACAAATTCGTAAATACATTATACTAAAATATTATTTTATTTAATGAATTTTGAATCAAGTGTTATTTTAATTTCATGTACATTAAAATTATTTAGGTAAATCACAAAAACCATATTATTATACCTACATATTACAGAACAGGTGTTATGAATTCTACTACCGTGTGTCCGTCACGTCTGTGATTAAGCTTCCGCCTTTTGTTACGACCGATTATTGAACCTCGTCCAATAACCTTTAACCGATATTAATCGACAACACAATTAATCCTATAAGAGGTGACTTGCAACAAACAATGGTTAAAAACTCTACATTTTTATACAATATATTATAAAAGACTTTTTTTTTAAATACTACTTGCCGTTTAAAAAATAAATTTTAAAGTTTTAGAACTCAACATAATTTAAATTATTAACAGATATTGTATAATATACTGATTAATGGAATTAAGTACCCACTATAATATGATTTTGAACGGATTTTAATTCATTTTTAATTTTTAATTTAAGTGCCTACTTAATGATCTACATAATGTAATATTTACATAGTTATGATCTTAGATATAAAATAATCTAGTTAATCCAAATGACATTTTTATCTAATGTGTATAAGTATTAAAATGCGTAGGAAACCAAATACTTATAGAACATTTTTCATGGTAAAATAAAATTATAGATATCAAGCATTATCTTTACATAAAAAATGTATAATAGCTAGTTTTTTTTTTGTACATGACTAAAAAATGTGTGCTAAAATAAAATAATTAGAATAAATTTACAACAATTTTTAGCTGCATCTTAAACTTGGCGAAATCAATTGATACCGAGGCCATTGAGTCGAGGAAAAATATTTAGCGAACTTCAATATAATACCTACATGGTGGCGGCAGCAAGATTGACGTACCTACTATATCTCGCGGCTATCTACAGGATACGTTTGTCTAAAAATCAAATTAACCCGAGATTAAATCACTAAAAACCATATTTAGAAATCAGCGATCAACCGGTGTTTCGCGATGAATGTAAATATACCTACTCGCATACGTCATAATAAACTATAGGTAGGTTTACATAGTAAGAGTGGTCCACTGACACGCACCATTCTTCAAATCGAACATTGGAGGCGTTTTATTACGACAAGTACATGCTTTATATTAATCGATCGCACTAGTTGTTCTCTGTAAAGTGCATGCGGCTGCAGTAATAAGATACTTTAGAACAGTACCTAGAAGATATAACACACCGCTTTAAAAAGTGTGAGATATAAATATAGATATTTTAAATCTCAGATCGTCTTAAGTCATAATAGTGTAGGTAGTATAGGTACATATTATCACATTAATAGTACCTACCTACATACAATACAACAAACGTTTTCTTATAAAAAAATTAGCATGATGATCAAGTGATAATGGTGTATACACAAGATATTGTGAACTCGACGTGTCCTGAAAACTGTACAAACTCACAATATACACTGTACTAATGCAGTACATAAAATTGAGTTATTGGCAATAACGCGTCACGACTATGCGTGCAGGATAAAAGATATTCGTGTGCGTTCAACGCGTTGCCGCGTCGGCGATTTTTCAAATAAATGTAAATTAATCTTCCGCTGTTTAAGTTAATAAAAATCTTTAGACCCAATAGATGCGTTTAAACGTTGGACGCTGTACGTTACTACAACCGTGATCATGGTTCATTGGCTGACACTTCGATTACAACATCAATAATAACATCGTCCCAATGACAACAACAATAATAATAATGTAACATAGTCGCGGATGCGCGCGTCTGACATTGTACCCATACAATATAATAATAAATCATACCGTATGTATGTACACGGGTACTTACTGGTAATGCGCATTATACGGAATTATAATAATATATTGACCGCGGTGGGTAAAAAAAAAAAACAACGAAAAAACCTCGTGTGGGCCGTGTGCCTTCGCAGCGCACTGATGTCGCCGACGATCGACTCAGAGGCTGAGGCGGCTGTAGACACGAACAGGCGAAATAATAATATATAATATTATAACAATATTATTATATATTATATACGTGCCCGCCGCCCGAGCGTGGGGGAAACGGCCACGGTGCGGCGACAGCGGCGATTGCGAATGTTCTAAAAATCGTATTTTGTAGTTAGTTGCAGCTATTCGTCTATAACGATTTTCACTGCACGCGTCCAAATAAAATGACGATGTACTGCGCCGCGACGACTCCGGTGCGTTAAGTTTTTTCACTAAAAGTTAAACGGCGTGTGTGTAAAAATCGTCGAAATATTATATCATATCAGCCGGCCCGGTCACGTGACCGATTAGTTATTTTATTTTTTTGTTTTACGCGTGTGCGAATTCGAGTCTCGCGGCAGTTTTCAAATTCTCCGAACAGCAGTCCACTGCAGACATTTATCGACATTACATACATTACATAATATACGTCTAAGTAAGTTCTAAAACGTCTTAAAAAATGCACGTTTAACCTACGTTGCCGAAAAATACATTTATATATTTATATTTATTTTCGTGTAATATGCGCCTAACAGGTACACATTTTATGATATCGTTAGTTTAGTTTTATACTTGTATATATAATATTAATCTATAATGAATGAACGCATCATTATATTAACGATATATCATGTAGGTAAGCAATAGGTAGACCTCTAAATAAATTTGGTTCGTTGGACTTGTGATTTTGTATTAGGCAAAAAATTAATAATGGAGATACCAATATCTCTTAGTACTATCAAAATATGTTCACAGACTTTCGTATTATGTCTTTTGTGTTCAGTGAAAATTACAATAATGAAAAATTCAAAACATTTAATCAGACATAAATCATTATTCTTAGAAATAAACTACAAGACTTAATAGAATATTAAAATAAATCTTCCATAAAATTAAAGTATAATATTATTTGTATAAAAATAACATGATAGTTTGTAAAACTATCCGTTTGATTTATCAAAATATGTTCAATCTTATATTCTGAGTGGAACAATTAGTGTATTAATTATACAATTATAGATATTCTTTTATTGTGTTTGAAGACACTTTTTTTAATAGAGAAAATGCTTAGATTTTTTACTTTGGGGTGATTTCTGGTAGCAAATTGGACTTATTTAATATTTCGAAGAGTCAAAAAAAAAAAAAAAAATTTTCGATATTTAAAAAAATAAAAAATATAAAAAACTATGAATATTTCGTAAACCAGTCTGAAAAATATATTTTATTATTTTTCTGTAACTTAAAAAACTATAGATGTTCAAAATTCTCGCCAAATTGTTCATAAGTTGTTCATATATCAAATAAAAAATATTTTTTTCAAAAATATCAAAATTTTAATTTCGACATAAGTCACAAATTATGAATAACCGTTCTTAATGTAAATATTTATTTGTACTTTAATCTTAAATTTAAATACATTTATGTTTTTAAAACAAGGTACAATTGTTAAAATATTTTGACTCTTTTTGAGCTAAAGACATTTAATAACTTTTGTTTTAATTTTTTTTTTCTATAAATATTGATAAAAAATTTTTCAAAATGCTTAAAAATTTAACATAAAATATCACATGAGTACTTTATACTCTAAATTTAAGCTCCTCATAAGTTATTATTATAGCTAATTATAAACATTAAACATACATTGGCACGATTTTTTTTAAAAACATTCTTAAGTTCTTAAAACGATTTTAAGTATTTTATTGTAATACAAAAATATTATTTATAGGAACTTGAAACTTTTAACATACATCATAATATTTTATACAAATAGCTTTTCATATGCAATTATTTCACAAAAAAATAATCAAACCTATCGTTTTACTTATAATAAAATTGATTATTTTATTATATCAATATATCATAAAATTTACTTAGTAATGTAGGCTAATAGACCGTTTTTGCTGAGAATCGTTTTTCGAATGCAATGATTTATCATTGAATTTAAATTTAACACCTATATTACAGAGACTTATTCAATGAAGAGTGCACTCAATACCTATTATTGTACAGCAGAGCAGTTACCTACTTTCCCACTTTATAACGTTACATATAATTCAATATAAAATATACAAGATTTTTACTTTTTTTTAAATAAAATTGTATCCTCAATTTTGGTAAAAACGATGTATTTAAATGATTTTTTTACTACTTAATCGTAAAATGTGTTTGATAATATGTATTATTTAATTACATTAAAATATTGAACTTAATTTTTTTTTTTTTTTAATGTGAAATACATAAAGATTGGTGACATATATTTTTTACAAATAACCTTCTAGAATTATATAATCTCAAAAAGTATATTTATCTATAAAAATATTACGTTTTTTTAATTTTTCTATTTAAGTAAACCGGTTCGCATGATTTCGACAAATAAGGAAATACGATTCACCTTTAACTTTTCATTGATCAACACCAAATTATCAAAATGTTTAGAATATGAAGACTTTCGAATTTCGAAAGTAAAACCTATATTTATAATGTTTGATAATATACTCGTAATAAAAAGGGGTGTGTAATAAAATATTCTACCTTTTGATACTTGTAATTTTGAAGTATGTAAGATAAAAATAATTACTGTATTCCACTTGAACGTTGAACGTTGTACATTTTTTTTTCATTCGTTTATTATGTATACACAATACATATTATGTAAAACCTAAGATTACAAATGTATTTTAAAAAGTAATACAATGCTAGTTTTATAAAATAGTTAAAAATATATTCATTAATCAATGTATTCCATTGTTAAAATAATAGTTTGTTATTATATAATTTCATCAAAATTTAACTATGTTGTTTTTGAATCATCTGAATGTTTTTATTATTCTATCTTTTTTTTTTTTTGTCATAAACAGTTACCCAATTTTAAAATATTATATATTGTTATTAACTATCAATATCATATTGATCTTATTATGTCAAAATAAATGCATAATAGTATCTGACCGTTTTTAATAATTATTATTTAAATATATATCTCAGCAATAATTTTAGTTTCAGTAAAATCTTTAAAACATTCCATTAATGAAATAAATATGTTTGAATGTAAACATTTTTTTAAAAATTAAAAAAAAAACAGTTTTCAACATAAACCTAAAACAAAATTAAAAAATTGAAATTTTTCAGAAGCCAAAACCTAACTTAATCACACATACAATATTATAAATCAAATACAATCATTGGCTTATCGCTCCATTAAAAATCTAAAAATATTAATCAGCAATTAAATAGTTGTTGAAAAGAATGTTTTTGTCTTATTTATTGCAATAATGATAAAAATTATTAAAACCTCCATTGGTTTTATAATTAACAGATAAGCAATAATATACTTGGTGCATAAAATTATATTTATGCGAGTTGTCAATAAAAAATATCATTGTATATCAGTAAATAAATTATTATTTGTTTTATATTACTGTTTTCCATTTGTGTTGTTCTATACAGTGAAGTTAAAGCGTGTGGCTTCCAAACAAATATGTTTCAACTAACCAATGTTATAACTATTGTCAGCTAGTTTTTTTTGGTTAAGTTACAAAAAAATCTAAGAATATCTAACATAAAATATAATATAACATAGAGTATATTCGTGTAGGAGTAGAACACTTTTTTGTTTGTCTTGATGTAGCCCTCTTAAGTTGCTCACGAGATTTCTAGTATCTACGATTATTTATTTTTGAATTACAACAAAATAATCAAATCAAATTTGTCAAAAACTGATCATGCTTAAAAATTCCTGTTTTTTCTTAGTTTTTATTATTTGTTTTGTTTTTCTTAATTATTAAGGAAAGTACTAGAAATTTTTAATTTTGAACTCTCAAATTAACACAATTCGTTAGATTCACTTTATTACCAAAGACAATGTTGAAGAAGAAAATTGAATTATTTTTATACCCCAAAATATGATGACGGATTTGACAAAAATTTAAAAAACACACACACACATCATTATAAAGTCAATACATTGATCACTCCACTAAAAATATAAAATAAATCGTAAATATTGTTCAAAGTTTTTAATAATAATTATATTTTATAATAAACTATATTATAGTAACCATTTTAAGTTGGTATAAAGTATATAATTGTTTATTTGTTTGCGATTACTGGTTACATCGAATAGGATATCTACCAACTAATATCATACATTATATAATTATTAAACATTTTATTTACTTTAATCTTAATAGCAAGCAATATTTGTTATAAACATTTAACTCATAATTAATTTTTAAATTTAAATTAATTGTTTACATATATTGAGGTAGGTATCATACTTGTATATAAATATTGAGTATTCAAAAAATAATCATTATCATTTATAAATTAAACCCTGAAAAGTGAAAGTACAAAAAACAAGCTATAAGTTATTACAAAATTTGTACCAGATTTAATATATTTATATTTCTAGGATTATAAAATGGTATTGTTCCGGAGTAGAAACTCAATACGAAACGAAGATGTTATACCTGATATATCAGCTCCAATACTTCTAAGAATGACAGCTATCAGAAACAGTATGCGTGCAGACCACCAATTTATTGGAGATAAACACAGCAGTCTTTATGGAGTACAACAAGGTAAATTTATTGTAAATATATAATTGTATGATGCGTATATTTTATTCAACAACATTTGAATTTATATTTATAGAATGATAAAATATGATTATTTAGTCAGAAAATATAATAAGAGTGCACAAAAAACCCGTGTATTGTATATAAGCCATATTATATTATGTGTCATAGCTAGTATTTCATATTTTTTTGATATTGGTGTATAGATATAGTCGATATGTGTACTCAGAATACAAATAACAATACGATAAAAGACGAACGCGTTATTGTAGCCTTTAAAAATGAATTTATTCCCCAAGTCGTATGTGTTTTCTTTTGCCCACCAAGGTTGAAAACTGCGAAATATCACGTTTGTTATAATCACATGTGCGAGAAACCTCTCCACTTTGGATATAATGCTGTTCAAATAATATACATACGTTGATGAGGAGGGCGTCTGTATTTGAGCTTTCGGCGTTTTCAATGGAATGCCACGTGCCGCCAAAGGCGAACTTATTTGAACACAATTATTATGCTCTTTGTATAGTTGCTAGGTGTGCAATTGAATGTGAATAGATCAAAAGATGGATAATAATATCGATGAAAACTGTTGAAACTTGAGTTTCATAATTGTTATATTTTTGCAACATACATTGTTATAAAATATAAATATCCTTATAAAATACAAATATTTACTATCAAACAATTATTTAGTTTCTATAGTTCGTTATTTTTGATATAAATCCCAATTTCCATTATATTTTTAACGAATGTGGATATTTGCTTATACATAAATATGTATACACATAGTATACATTTCCATTAACAATAATAAAAATGCAACAAGTACCTGTATAACGTCATCATTTTTTTATGTCCAGTATTAGTCAATCAAAATACAAAATGAGTTTTTTTATTTACTTTAAGTCTATATTATCTAGTAGTACTGTAATACTCGAATAAATTTTACGGTATTAATTTTTAAAATAATATTCATACATGGTTAAATGAAGTTTTGTAAAAAAATTAATCTTAAATATTTATTATGTATATTACTCTATACTAGCGAGTTTATACTTACATAAATTAGTGCAATGTTTCCCAATCAGGGGAGGAGGAGAGTGTGAAAACATTATAGCAATAGTTTTAAATAATAATTTTTATTACACTTACATACATTTTAACATTTATCTACAAGTACATAAGACATAACTATGTATGGAATAAATTTATATATTTAAAAATTTGAAAAAAATTTTACAATAGTTTTTAGAGTGACTGTGTAATTAAATTATCAACATATTTTAGAGAAATTATCAAAGTGTAGTTAATTTATGTTTTATTGTAAATCTTTATTTTTTTTTTTATTCAAGGATATTGTGACTGTGGTGTACCTTACTCTCTTTCTCTCTTAATTCAATTTATTTTTCAGTACAATTTTCTATCAATAAAAATAAAAATATTTTAGCATTCATAATAATTGTGTATACATATAGCTTTATAAATATTTAAATAAAAAACCTCCCGTAGTTCGCCAACACAAATAATGACTATACTATGTAAATCATACACTAATAATTATTAATTTTTCATCTCACTCATTATGTTTGTACTCACCTATTGCAATTTTAACAAAATAATTGATCGAACGCTTAGAACATAAAACATATTTAGAAAAGTGTTTCAACTTTTTGTGCTGAGTGCCAATTTTTTTTTATCCACTCCTTCTTTCATTTTTAAAAACTAATTTTATACATTTTTTTAAGACTAAATATGAAAAATATACGCATTTTATTTTCAATGGGGACATAATCACACCCTATATTACACAATACAAGTCTTCATACGTTCATCGTCAAATGTTCATTATATTAATAGAAAAAAAAAGAGAAAAATGTTTTCCAATAATTTTTGTTATAAAGTTGTTTAACACCATTGTGTAACTCTCGGAAAATAGATCTTTTGTCTCTATGTATTAACCTATACAGAATAATTTAGTATTTAAACACGTTTAAATAATAAACTTATTCAAATTTTGATATTTGGAATTAATATAGTTCAGGTTAAGTAATTATTTGATTTCAATTGTTTTACGTCATTTAAAGATTAATTAGTCATACATTTTTTCATTCTGTTTAGATTCTACCAATTTAATAGGTGTACTACATTTTGTAAAGATGTATAGAATTCAAAATAACAGTCATAGATTTGTTTTATTACGAGGAACCTGTGATCTGTTAACAATATACACAAGTGACTGATGTGCATCTTACCTTGAGGCGCCGTATTCGGCTAGGAATTTTCTAAAAACTAACGATTTTTTTCGTTTAGCCATGAGTGCAGATTAGACTGATAAATATAAATATTATGTACTATTATGTTAAACTCTTTACACCAGATTTTTGTCGCATAGCACTTTACACATTCGTAAACGGTTTAATAAAAAATAATTGAGAATCGTATTCAAAGAAAATGATTAGCGGCTGCCATTTCTCATTAAGATGAGAGGCGGACATTATGATATAATATAACGATTACCCGCTTGAAATAACGTAATAATGTGAAACGTAAACCATACGAATCATGGTCGTGGAATAATAATATCTGTTGCCTAGTCCGTATAGCTTGATGACTTCACATTCCACCATGATTTAATGGGGGCGAGGGGAAATTCATAATTACCCTGTTGTCTTATGTCGATATATTATGAAATAATATTTTAATATCTAATAAATAAAAACAGCAAATATATAATATATTATTACAATTTTAAATAAATATTATTATCTAATCGGTGAATATTCTAACCAGAATTTAATCATACGACTAAAAGTTGAATATATTATTCTACATTGTAATAGTTATAGTATCATATTGGTAGATTACATTTTTATAATTGCGTTTTAGTAAGTCAATTAGAAAAGTATTTTACAGGACACGATGAATTGTGAACTACTCTCGACGCGAACCTTAATCTCCGGGAAATGATTTGGCGCTGTAATAAGCTGAATTTTGAAGTATCAGGTATAGGGACTATGTTACCATAATATAATATTCCATATCGATACTAGGAGTTAGTTGAATCTTATTAAAAACATTAATACGTTAATAAATTATCACTAACCATCAAGTTCATTAATGCAAACATCTAAATCACTTCAATTCATTAAAAAATCACTATAAATTTAAAAATAATTTTTTCCGAAAATCACGGTTTACTTTGTAATATGAAGATACTTTAAACTATTATACACTACATATACCTACGCAGTACGTTATACTCACTAACGGCTAATAGGTAACCACAATATAATTCGTCGTTGGTCAACGTAATCTAACAGTGATTACCGATTTTTACTCTCTGAATGTTTTTAGATAAACTCGTTTTCTCTTTAACACGAGAGTGTTTAGTATTGCACACTGTGAAAGTTGTGTAAAAAATCATTAAAAATTAAAATATAGTGGAAAATATTTGAAAAACAGTGATAGTATTCAAAAGTTTAAGTTTGATAATAGATCAATTCATTCTGATATTAAAGGTTACTGCACAAAATTGGAACTACTGAACACATAATTTGGTATGGTGTACTGTGCATAATATAAGACGTTGGACAACATATCATGTGGCCTTCTCTTAAACATATAGATATTAGATAATTTCTAGAAAGTCTGTTAATATATTTTAAGAATTTTTTGTACGTTAGTAAATTAATAATATTTCGTGTTAAAATATAAACAATTGATTTTAATTTGTTAATTGCTTAATATTAAAATATTATAATACGGAGATAATTTATGTTTTTCAGTGGAGACTGGTACAAAAATAGTCTCTGGCTTTATCTTTTTAAAGTTAAAATTTGTTATATTTTGATAAGTATTGGTAAAATAATCATTTAAAAATCTAGGTTAATGAATTATACTTTTTTATAATTACTGTTACGAGTTATAACTAATAGTACTGTAGTACAGTATTAGTATTAATATCTAAGCATTAAATAACTAAATAAATACCTTAGTCATTGATTAAATATAATATATATTATGTTTTAATATTTAATCATGCTTAGGTACTATATTTACTGTTATTTCATTACTCCAATTTGTTATTACGAACATATGTATTTGTTATACATATTCAATAAACATCTTTTTTTTTAAATTTGATCACATATTACTTATTGTAAATAATGATACTCGTTTGTGTGTCACTAATTTATAATTATATTATTTTTATAACTAAAAGTTAAAAAGAATTAATAAAACTGTATCATAGGTGTAAAAATGTATTTTTATTAGATAAATTAATAGTACAAATATTATTTATTTAAAAATTAAAGTGAACAATTATTTCATTACTATACTAAAATAACGAACATTCGCTGTTAATTAAATCTTTCTGTACATATATTATACATGATAATTTTTAATTGTTATGCAACTGCTTATTTTATTTACGGTAATCTTAATTAAAATTAATGTTATAATATAGCTGAAAGTCAATGTGTTAATTTTTTGTAAGTTTAAAATATAATACTTATATTGTTTGTTTTTTTTTTTTTTTTTTTAGCTTGTATATTTATTTTTTATAAATAGTAAATTTCAGAAAATACGTATAAATATATTTTAGCACCAGCGCTGTTTCTATTACTGATTTTATACATTGTATAATTTACATATTCAGGAAATATTTGCACAAAATGTATTTTAAATATTAGATTAAATATATAGGTTTCTAGATGTTAGTAGTGTTAGTATCTACCTACAATTTATATTATACTATTGGTTTATCATACTTATTGTATTGTATATAACTCTAAAAAAACCATAAGTTAAAATTTAAAAATAAAAATGATTTGTACTATATACCAAATAAAATATATTTATAAAATATAAGATAAATTTCAAAAATAGATTATTGAGATAAAGAATCTTTTTCTGAAAATGTTAATATTTTAAACATTTTAACTCTTAAAAAATACTGACAGAATAAAAATAAAATTAATAAACAATAATTGTGTTGTGTT